GAGAGAGAGAGAGAACTTAGAATACAGATAATCTTGAAAAAATTTGGTATTTTTGTTACAAAAAATAAATTCTATCTTTTACTAGAAAAAAAAAAGCAGAAAATTATTCCAAAATGAAGATTAAAAAAAATAACAATTGGAATTTTACATTGAAAGTTTGGAATTTAATTCTGTGTTCTGTAAGAATTCTCTATTCTACCTGGTACAAAGTTACAGAACAGAATTCTATTCTAAAATGAAACTCGAAAGACAAAATTACATTCCACGTTGCATCTTCAAATTTTCATCCTGATAAAATTCTACCTATTGAGAAGATATAAGTTCTCTTCGTTTCGTAGAACATTCAAAGAATGATTGAAATTAAGAAGAAAAAAAAAAATTCGAAACTAAAATTCACGGATCAAATATTTCAGAATCAAAAACCCCAGACTCCGATCCCGAAAAATATTACTAAAATCCACGTATCTGGGTCGACCTAGCAAACAGCGTAGATTGCTTCCCCATCGATCCTATCGGCTAATACTCGTATACATCAAGGAATAGTCGAACAATGTCAGCGTGAAATCCATGAGATCGTCGAAGTCGAATACTAAAAAATCTCCACCCACTGGTTATCCGATTCGAGGAGGAGAACGTGGAGGTCCCGCAGCTTCCACGAAATTAAACTTTCCGAAGGGGAGTGAGAGAGAAAGAGAAAGAGAGGAGAACCGAAAAGTTTCCGCCGCGTTTGCGAAAGAAACTCCCCCTATCGCGATTCGAGCGAATTCGCGAAACAAATGAGGAAAAAGCGGTGGCCGTGTTCAAGCAACGACGAGTACCCTGATAAACAGGCTGGTTAAGAAGTAAAAAGAATCTCGAGAACTGGTTGGAAAACAGTCGTTCCTCGGAAAAGACGATTCTGTCCGTTGCAGAAGATTTACTACGGTTGTTAATTTCCCCAATGACTCGTCCACCCCGCTGTGAAACGATCGTTCAACAAATGAGTTTTTCATTGATCTTGCAATTTTCTTTTATTTAACATTATTTTATTTCTCTTCTTTTCAATTTGTTTCAATAGCACGTTATATGATATACTCTGGATTTTTATTAATCCTTTAACTAGTGTAACTGGGTTAATTGGTTCCTTTATTTCGCGTGGTTTTTATTTTTGTAATAAAACTTTGATCTGAATTCGATTAGGAAATATATGAATAAACGTTAAAATTCTTATCTTGTGCTTTTTAAACGACGAGCTGAGTTAATTGAGACATCTTGTAATTTTTTATTGAGTATTTCATCCCTTTTAAAGCAATCAAAAAATTATGAAATTTAGTTTCAATTTTACCATTACTTGACTTGACTGATCTTTTATCGTTGTATATTTTTATATAAATTTTATTTGTATTTTATTTAAATTTTTATATTTCTTTCGAGGTATCCACTATTTATTCGTTTGATTCATGTTCAATGTTTATTTTATTACCGATATCGACAGGCGTGTTTTATTTCTCTTTTCTCCGAATCTTTCTATCTTTTCTGTTCAAGCAATTTAAATTTATATAAAGAGATTATCTAGATATATTGAATAAGTAATTTAAATCGAGTCACTGTTTTAATAATATGTATACGTATATCCAGATAAAAATTACGATTATTAATATTTCCTTAACAAATATTATTTTCTCAATTGATTCTTTCTTAAAAAACAATCGATAATTGCCACTGTATATTTTCGAAGTAAAAAGAATTACACGCGAAAAAAGAACTCGATTGTCTAAGTTGTTTAATTACTTTAATTCCTGTTCGTTTTAACTTCGACATTATATATTTCCGCGCTTTATCCTTTCTTTTCCACGTTTTTCATACGTTGATTCTCCGCTTCTGTCGCTTTCTTCGTTCCTCTCCGCGAAACTTCGTTACTTCATTAGTCCCCTTTTCGATCTTCCCTCGCGTTTAGTCAGCGTTTCATCTGTCAGTGTCAATTAACCGTTTAATTCCTATCCCTCATGTCCCATTCTATCCGTTTCCCTTTAAATTTCACTTGCTCTCTTTCACTCTTCGCTAATTCGTTTTTTTCTCTTCCCGGTTTACCAACTTTAATATACCTTGGACACACATGGATCCTGTTATTTGTTCAATTTTCTGAAAAATTCATTATTTCTCGAGTCATTCTAATTTAATTTCAATTTTCTTAATTCAATTTACTTTAATTCTCCTATTTATTTCTTCTATTTTTAAATGTTCATTAATTATGTAACTTTTATAATAAACAATTATCTCCATTTTATTTATCTCTATAATTCTCCGGTGTATTTTGCTTTCATTTTCCAGTTCCACAGGTACACTTTTATCTCTGGTCTATATTTTAACTCCGTTTCCTCCGACTCTTTGAACTCTCACTTTCAGTTTATCCGTTCCAACCACCTTTTTCCAGACCTTCCCACTTATTACGCTTTTTCCTCCCTTTGCTATAACTTCTTTTCTCTCCACTCATTTCATTAACCCTTATCTTTAATCGCAGTTCATCTTCCCCATGCTCTTTCTTCGATGCCGTTCTCAACATCTTAGTTTCTTAGATTTACTTGATAGATTTTCTTTATCTTTCAGATTATTTATACTTCCATTTTCAATAGTAATTTGTCTTATCTATATATCATTTATATTACAAGTATAAAATTGATGATAAATTATATATTTTCAACTCCAAGAAATAAAAATGATTTTCAAAATGATTATACGTATAATATTGTGCTCTATCCCTCTCTATCTCTATGTATCTATCATAATGTAATCCATTCTTTACCATTTCTTGATGTTTCTCATTAAAATTAATACAAGTCATACATTTTCAATTACTTTGAGAAATTAAATAACAATATATATAATAAAACATAGAGCCCCTTTCCACTTTCTATCACACTTTTAAAAATACATTTCTGCTCTCACAAAGAATTGAACAAGAAAAGAACAATTTCATGAAATACTTTTCCATCAAAATCCTCCAAAAAGAAACAAATGAGATATCCAAGACGACACTTCTTCCCTCCACCCCGCATACATAATCGAGGAGGCCCAGTAGCAATAACGGTCGATCAATCATCATTTACAGCACACATCCTGCCACGCGCTCGAAACTGCGGATTCTTTCGTCCACGCAAAGAGACCAAAGGTCCCTAGAACGCGTCTAACGCTCTCGATTGCGTCCTCGGCGTCCATTACGCCGGATCTGCCAATCTTCGGCCCAATATATAAACCCGGCCCGCTTTATTTGTGTACACACCGTGTGTGCACACGATCTGCTCTTTCTCTCATCGCGGACAGTCGGCTGCAACCACGCCCTTACATAAACAGTATAATTGCGGGGGCGTTCGAGCGAGAATACGACTAGCCATTCGACCCCTCTTTTATAACGTTGTCGCGACGATACGACTCGGCGATGAGCAGAGGGGAGGATACCTTCCGCCTCGATTCGTTTTTCCTTTTAGATCCTAGTGGAGGATACATGCTCACGATACTGCTGACCGAGCATGCGATGATCTATGAATTTCTTCCGAGGGGTAGAAGATGATATGGGGATGATACGTGGGGAGTTGATACGAGTTTCTATTTTCTCTTTTCCTTTGGCAGAGAGATTTTTACGGTGAAGTGGTTACGCAATGATATTTAAGTAATTTTTCCTGGCCTTCTTCAAGTGATGGATATTAAAATATTGATTTTAATAGAAAAATAGTTATAAATTGTTACATTAATTTCTATGCAATATTTTTGGGAAATATAATACGTTCAAAAGATAAATCAAGAATCTTCCAGAAGCTGATCTTCTCTCGCCACGCGGTGTAAACTCTAGTTATAAGCCCTTCATGGAAATTCCCTTGATCTTGCTTGTCACGCGCTACTTGAGTCTATGCAAGAGAACTCACTCTCGCATGCAAGTATCTATACGAGCTTAAGCTGATATACTTATTATCTCCGTGCTGCTTCCGTGCTTTTTAGATGCCGTGTTCACACGTCATTAAACGATTTCTTCGCACCTTTTCTTATTCAACGTTTTCCCTTATATTTCTTTTTCAGCTTTAGGATTTAAAAAAACTAATTTTTTAATTCTCAATCAAATTTTAATCCTGTAGAATTTCTTTGTCTCTACATTTTAATAATAAATATTACGAACAATTAATCAATTATAGATTGTTTACTGATACGAAATTTAACGATATTAATAATTTAATTCAATTTAGTTATATATTATAATTATTTTTAAAACTTTTTACTTATCCAATATCGATATTTAATATTATTCGTGAATTCATATATAATTCATAAATTAAATCCAATAATTATATTATTTATGTTGTTGCCACAGCTAAATAAATCACGCATAACTTTTAAAAGAAAGTTACTAAATATAAACCATTCAAATAAAATATGAAATATAAACTTGAATCACAATGGATTAACTTTCTCGAATCAATCACTTCGATTTTATACGTTTATATTATACTTGTTCCCAAAAACAAACTCCCCATTCATAAATTCAGAATCTGAATATAATATATACCAAAAAAAATATAGACCTATCTCACAGTGATTTTAAGACCGACAATAAATACCAATGGGGCGTAGAGCAAGATAAATCATCGACGAATCGACTATAAGCGCGAATAAACCCGCTTTCATTTTTAATTAAAACTGGCCACGAGTATTGCCGAAATTTTCCATGCCTGGATAAAATCGCGTTTCAATCCTTTCAGACCCGATATACAATATTAATCATTCCCAAACATGATTTTAATTATACTATGAGGTGTCTGCACGACGGACGACATGTAAAATGAAAATTCGTACTCGAGTTTCCGCGTATAAACGTTTATGCAAACACACGGTTAGTCCTTCGAAAAAAAAAAGAAAAAATTGAAAAAAAAATGCGAGAGTGGCGCAGAAATTCAAACACGAAAAATCCGGTGTACGTAGCAAAGGGAAGCGTGTCGTCCCGTAAAAATCGCGTTTCATACTTTATTCAACTGTATTCATGGTGTTGGTAGTAGTAGACGATCGAAACGTAATTAAAAGAGGAATAATTAATCGTCCATAAATCGTCGATATTGATGGAGTTTTTTAATACGATGATCGAATATGACGGTTGATTTCGAAAATTGTTTTAAATTTCAAGGGAATGGAGAGACTGTTCACATTACCAAAATAAGGGATTGAAGTCTTCGTAGTTTGGAATAATAATGACTCACCTGAAACAAAAAAAATTTTTAGTTAGTACAAAATGTCAAATGATTATTAAATTTATGCGTGTTAATGTGCTAAATATTCGTAGCAAACTATTTAAAAATAGTTTGAAAAAGAGCTGTTTATAATCCAATTACGTATTTTTCATTTTAATAATACAAGGATATTTTATTAATATAATCATTATTTGAATTTAATTTCAAAAGATCTCAAATTATTTTATTTTACTTATACCAGCATTATTCACTTTTTGAATAATAAAATTCCTCTAAAATATAAATAATCAAATCTTGAGTAATTTCTTCACACTTACCATAAATTCATCCCATTCTTTTATTCTCTTTCCCACCAGTATATAATCTCTTTCAATTATAATAATTTATTTTCTCCAAGATTAATAATAAATATCCTCCCAATATCCTTTCCACATTTATTTCCATTTTTCAAATACCGTTTTTCACAAACGAGCCAATGATTTCCCCATCCCAACCACATTCTTCTCTTCTCGTTTCCACCCACTTTCCACCCATTTTTCTTTTATTTATTCCACGTCAGAACGTTTAAAAAATCTTAATGGAATTCGAACGTGCACGGGATACCTTGAAGGTGTATTTTACGAATCTACAGGTTGTAACCTTGTTCCTCGATTAAACCTCTCCCTCGGGTGAAACCGCGCGAGGACTAAAATACCACCCCTTTCCAGAGGCTGCCTGTTCCAACGTTTCGCGTGTACTTATCCCCGTCAAATCTGTACGAGATTTTATTTCACCTTCTTTCACACCGTTTCCTTTATATCTTTCCCACCTGGTTTATTTATTTATTCCCCTTTTGCCTCGAACGAGGGTGGTTTATCGTTTCACCTTTTATTGTCGCCTTTTTCTTTGAAGTCGTTAAAAAGGCGTTTAATAAGTCCTCGAATTATTTATAACCACCTTCGAGAAGAACTTATAAAAGGAGAAGAAAAAAAAAAAGGAAGAAAGTAACGACAAAGTGGGATAATTTTGATCGCTGTGTCTCAATTTTTCTTCTCTTTTTTCTTTTTTTTTTTTTTACGCTACGTTTAAGGCTTAAGATTTTCTTAAGAGGATTTTGCCTATGTGTTTCTCAGATTTTTGAATAAAAACGAGTTTAAAGGATGAAGTTTACAAGATAGTTTACAGTTTGGATGAAGAACATTCGAGAATCTTCTTGTTATTAATGTCACTATGAATTTAAATGTTATTTTATAAGTTTCAGAAATTATTTTGTTATGCTTTTCCTTATTATATTATTATAACTGATATATTATTTGATACTGATAGTACTATATAGATACTGATTATAGTATTAAATATATCGTTGTAAAATATAATACGATGTGTATAATTTGGAAAATTTAGATAAAAAATAAAATTAATTGCATATTCTTGATTATTCGGAAACTATTACTAACATTATAATTTTTTATAAA